AAAAAAAATACAAAAATAAAAAGAAACCCAGCATCTTGTTTTCTTACTCTATGTCGGAAAAGAGCTCCCCTGCCCTCTTCCGACACAGAGTAAGAGGAAGGGGGGGGGGGGGAGGAAGGGGCTCGGTCAGAGGGAGGAGGGGGCTGGGCCCAGTTGCTGAGTGTGTGTAGAGTTGCCAGATGTCTGGTATTTTCTCATCCTGGCATAGAAAAAAAATCAGAAAATAACTGACATTTTAGGTGTCCAGTATTTTCTGATTTTTTTTTTACCGGACAGGAGGTGAAAATATAGGACTGTCTGGGTCAATACTGGACACCTGGCAACCCTAACTATGAGGGCCTCTTGCGATCCCTGGGATAGGGATGAGCTGAGGCAGGATGGGAATGGCATGGCTTCGCAGATTCTGAACCATGCTGCTGCCCCATAGGGTAGCCCAGGGTGGCTGCGGCAACTTAGATGGGCTCCTAAAGCTGTGTAAATTACATGGAGGGGAGGAGTTGATCCAGCAACTGGACTGTGAGGATGCAAAAATGGCTTATAGCTACTTTAGCCTCCCCTTCCTCTGGGGCAGTGAGTTCTGTGCTGAGACTCCTCCAGGCAAAGCAAACAAACAATCTCACTTTTGGTGTGCCAGGGTCAGATCAAATATGCCCACAAGGCTTCTGTATTAAATTGCCTATTTTGATCTAAACCACAGTGTGTGGAAGTCTGTGTGCTTGACTTCTAAAATGAAATGTTAGATTGAGCAAGGGGATCAGGCAGTTTCAACACCTTCCTGCAGGGCAGAGACATCAATCAGGCCTCTGATTATAACTCATTGAGAATCAATGGGTGTAATTGCTCAAACAATGGAGCTGAAGCAATTGCAGGGGCATTCTCCTGGAGAAGCCCTGCTGACGGGTCAGAAGTCAAAGTTCCCCTGAGTCAATGGCTCATCCTGGTGACAGGGGAAAGGCACTTTAGTTTCACAGCCAAGAGTACACAAGGGAGTGATATGGCCAGCATCTCTTCTGTTTTTAACTGCAATGCACAATGTAATGCAATGCACAATGTATGCGTTTTGCAGCTGAACACGAGGTGGACTTTCAGTTTAAGATCTAGCTGACTGGAAAAAAAACCCAGGCTGAAACACTAAAAGATGTCACACCTTGGCTGGTAAGCAGAGAAACTATTGACCAGAATGGTAAGTAGTGGTAGAAATGTAGCCGTGTTAGTCTGGTGTAGCTGAAACAAAATACAGGACTATGTAGCACTTTAAAGACTAACAAGATGGTTTATTAGATGATGAGCTTTCGTGGGCCAGACCCACTTCCTCAGATCAAATAATGGAAGAAAATAGTCACAACCATATATACCAAAAGATACAATTTAAAAAAAATCCCTCTCCAGCCTTCCACAAACTTTGGGCCCCCGATGGGGAGAACTGGGCTGGCTCTGCGGGCTTCTGCCCCACATCCCCCTTCTGTTCTGTAATGTGATTTGTCCTTTTCATGTGTGTTCATTTTTTTTAAATTGTATCCTTTGGTATATATGGTTGTGACTATTTTCTTCCATTATTTGATCTGAGGAAGTGGGTCTGGCCCACAAAAGCTCATCATCTAATAAACCATCTTGTTAGTTTATGGTAAGTAGGTTCAGAAACCGAGACAAATGGGCTGGAACTTCTGGGCTTTGGTAGAACGAGAACTGGATCAGCTCTATTCCTGTAACTTACAGGGAAAACCTATCTAGCATAGCCTGAAGGGAACACTAGCCAAACCAAAATGTGTACAGAGGCTATTTGTTTCTAAGATCCATTTTTCTTGGACACATTGTTCCAGCTGTAAAATAAGAGGTTCCTACAGAGAGGATCAAGCAGATGTTCAAAATATATGTGGACATGCAGAGTGGTAACTGGTTAGTGTATATGGGGTAGTGAACTTAGGTCCTGGTCTAAGGGCTTGTGTATATGGCTGGTATGCTTGAAAATAGGCTAGTTAGTGTGCAGCAGGCATGCGCACTGTAGAGCCACACAATGGCTAGCTGCATACTAACCCATTGCATAGAGGAGCCCTAAGAATGGGAGAATAGCATATTTCCACCCCAAAGCAAGTGCAAAAGACTAGAACTGAGCTGGGTGCGCTTAAAGAACCAGAAAGAGTATAGGAGCACAGACAGTCATGCTATGAAAAACTGAAAAGCAGGATGTGGGGTGTAGGGTGAAGAAAAACCAACTCTCAATGGTTTAAGTGCCTTTTAAAAGTCTGAGTTTGAAGTTCATTCTAACAATAAATGAAATGTTGCTGAAGAGAGAGTTTATCTTGTATTCAAGCAGCTTGCAATCCCATTGATAGCCTATCTGCTGAGATGTAGAACTGAATATCTTGTACTAATAAATACAATATGTGACTCTTAGAAGGAAAATTGTCTTTTTAAAGCATTAGGTCTGGGAGAAATAATTGGAAGAACTTTAATTCTACTTGGGTCCATACAAAAGAATGCCATATGATGCCATGTGTCAGATCTTGCATTAGTCATCATTATCTTTGCTATTTCTCCACAATTGCATCTGGCTCTTGCCTGGGTCTCTCCAGTGACTATGGGTTAGTTACATGGACCATATGTGATACTGTGATTTTCTCAGACTTTTACGAATGATTAGTTAATATATCACAATTAATCTGTGTCTTGTTGAACCATTCATCTATTAATTTTTTTCCCTACTAGAAGCTGAAATGATGCCACCTTTATAAATAGATGAGCAATATTTTGGTGAACCACCCTTGCTTAAATTCAAATGGCCTCTATTACTTTCTAGCTCCAAACATTTCAGATTAGCTGTTCCGTATGTAAACTTCTTTTAATAATAACTATAGGGGTCAAAGTACAGTTTTCATGTTTTAATTCATATTTTCATCTGGGAGGATAAAGTTGAAGTCCAAAGAACTGAGCTTAGCAGGGTATCACAGGCTTTGTCTAGACTACAGCGTTCTATCAGAAAAAGATATGCAAATCGCAAACTTCAATTTGCATATCTTTTTCTGCTTTTCTTCCAAAGTATGCAAATCGCAAACTTCAATTTGCGTATCTTTTTCTGCTTTTCTTCCAAAAGAGACTTTTCCAACAATTGGTCTACATTGGGCCAAATGTCAGAAAAAAAGCCTCTTTTGGAACATCCCTTTTTCCTCGTAAAACAAGGTTTACAGGGATGCCGAAAAAACACGACTGCTTTTCCGAATTTTTTTTTTCAGAAAAGCAGATGTGTTCCTTGGATGCAGCAGAGCTTTTCCAGGGTACCTCCGGTATCCTGGAAGAGCTCTGTAGTCTAGACGTACCTTTAGTGAGAGTACATCTTTAGATGAGAAAAGTATATTTGTGTTCATTGCCTTCTATATAGTAGCCTTCTATCCAAACAAACCTACCTTCATCACTCCCTTCTTCCCTCAACTCTGCCACCACACATCATGAAAAAAATGTGCACAGGAAAGCTTATCCAGACACAGAGTTTGATTAGAGCAGAATGCAAGAAGAGTGAGCTCACAATTCTCAGACAGAAAAGGCTTTATTGTTTAACATTTTCCATTCTCAACAGCCTTTGTCTGAAGAACAAGGTATCTTAGTTTTAAAACCCAATATATCTTGAGTCCTTTTTTTATAACTTTAACTTAAATTAGCCTTGTATTCTAGTTGATACAGGTAGTTCTACATTTCATCCACAGGATAGGAAAACTTGCACCAACTTTAATGAGTTCAAAGAGACAGTGAAGCCAAATGATTGGCCAATTGAAAACGGTCTCTCAAGAGTTCAAAGCAAAGAGTACATAATGCAAGAGCTTAATAAATAAAGGTTAGATACTGCAAGCGAATGAACAACTTCGTCTTACCATCAAATTTCAGCATCTGGCCATAAATTAACCTAAATTCCAACATACCATTCTACTGATAACGAGAATGGGGTTATTACAGGTTAGCAGTTCAGATAAAACAAAGCATGATTTTATTGTGAACAAAACCTGAACCATTCTAAGCTTTGAAAAGATTGATACATATTTTCAAAGTAGTATTTGGGCACTTCTGTATTTGCTGATTTTGTCAAGGACTGACTGAAAATTCCATAAGATGAAGGATAAAATCATCTTTGTGAGCAGATGAAAACCAATAGTACCAGAAATCTTGAATGTAAATATGATATTTTTGTTGACAACATTTTAATAAACACATAGAACTCAGGGTAACAATGTTAAGACCTATACAATGCCAGCTCTCTGCTAGCAGTTCAGGATTCTGTCCTGATAAAGGAGCACCAAAATTGTCATGTAACACAATCTCATAAATTCACTAGAGACAAATTTCAAAGAATGGTTTCCAATTTTTTCTGGTGCACAATTGCAAGCACAACTGTTGCACAAATTGGATAGAAAAAGACACAGGTATTAAAATATTCAATATCAACTGACTTCATATGCAAAATGTGTGTGCGCAAATTTAGAGGCTATGTTGAGGCTGGTTGCAAATATCATCCCTGGTATAAAATAAATGTGATTTGGCCACTCAGAAAGTATTGTCTTTAAGTTAGACATTATAATTACCAAACTAGTTATTGACCATAAATAACTGATGTGTGCTGGGAGATTGTACCCTAGTTATTGACCATAAATAACTGATGTGTGCTGGGAGATTGAATAATTTACAAGGGGAGAGTAATTTGCAGTAAAAAGAGGTTCAGGAATTGAATCTCCTTGAAAATCTTTTTAAAGAATGAACACTATTTTGAGTAATCTAAAGGCAAAATATGTGCTCTTTAAACAGTATCTTTACTTGATAAGCTTCTTGGTAGGGATGTTTGCAGAGACTGGGATGAACACAAGGGGAATAGAAGACTCACCCCCAAATACCACTCATGAAAACATGCTATTTTCATATTTATTTGCAAGTCATTTCCTGGAAACTATTAATGATAATTTTAGCTCTCATTGCAGAAAGCCCATGGGCTGCAGCAAGCTAATAAAACTAGTGGTTACTTTCAGAGATTACCTCTCATTTTCTCTTAGGATCTCTTTTCCTTTCTTCCAAGTATAAGTAGGTCTGGGGGAAGCCTTTGGCTTACACTCTATGATGACTTCACCACCCACTTTAACAAGAGTTAATCTTTTCAAGAGGGTTTTGGAAAAGTCCGGACCCACAGCTGAAAAAGAAAAGCAGAAGCAGCTTAGAATTCACTCTGGAAAGAAGTGATCAGCTTTCCTTTAACATTAGAATATTCTGGTATATCCTTTCACCAATTTACATTTGTAACTTCCATAATTATCAGCATCAGGAGCTTTGCATACATATTGATGAGGAAAATAGATGCCTCTGTGTTTAAAAGCTTAAATTATTTGGAAAAATATATTTAGTAGAAAAACGTAAAGGGAACAAAACCAAAAGACCATGGACCATTCCACAATACATTTCATACAGCTATATTTTGTAATACAGTGCTTTGGGACCATGTTTGACTCTTAAGAGTTATGACATTCATTTTTCATTCTATTCCCCTGAAAGCTGGTGTCTCTTTGTTCCTAGGAATATCTTATCAAAGGGGCTTCTTAGCTCCGATGGGGCAGGGGAAGGACGAGACTTGTCCTTCCTTTGCAAACTGCTCTGGTGGTGGTGGTGGACCAGACAAGACCCACCTCTTGGCTCCTCCCCTTGCTGCAGGATGCTGTCTGGGACTGGGCTGCAGCCTGAGGTTCCTGCAGCTGGAGACTTGTAGAGTTAGATTGTATCTCCCCTATGATGCTGGAAGCGCCCCATCAAAAGGGGTTTCCTAGTTCTGATGGGGCAGTGGAGGGACAGGACCCCTGCATAACTGCTGGGGGTGAGGAGAGACCAGATAGATCCACCTCCAGATGCCTCCCCTTGCTGAAGGACTCTGGGACCTCTGTTAGAGGTTCCTGCGGCTGAGTGTGGGGTATGGGGTGCAGAGCTTTCTGCAGCTTTGCAAAAAGAAAGCATGTATTGTCCCTCCCAAGCTGGCCAGGACTAGAAGTGAAGAGCCCCTACCTGGGTGTTCCCAGCAGCACAGGGGAAATCAGTTCTACATCTAGACCCACTTCTACATCTTGGAACCTCCTGCGGTTGCAGGAAACTCTGAGACTACTGCCTTTAGAGTCCAGCTCTGAAGGCAGCATAGAAGTGAGGGTGGCAATCCCATGACTTCCCTACAACAGGTTTGCACCCTCCCCCCCCCCAAATTTCTTTTGGGTCAGGAGCCCAGGATCATAATACCATGAAATTTCAGATTTACACAGCTGAAAATGTGAAAATTTCTAATTTTCAAATCCTATGGCTGTGAAATTGGCCATAATGGTCCATGAATTTGGTAGGGCTCTATTGGTAATACATCAAATCTGGTCATCAAATGCTATATGGCCAAAAATCAGTGACATTTTCTTTTTATGGCACGTAATTCTAGAAATGAGCCCAAAGATTTGGCTTAGCTTTACAGTTTTGTGTTATCCTGCTACTTCAGGAGAGTTTTAGTTCACTGTTGTCACATCAAGTAAATGTTATACATAATGATCTAAATACATGGGTATTGTATGGAGAGGAATGGAGGGTGGTGCATTGTCCCCCCTCCCCCTCCCTTCAAACGCCAATCTTCAGGAAAGCATGAAATGTGCCCTCCTCATGCATAACTCCATTGTCTGGACTGGAGCTACCTAGCCCCCTAACATAGAAGTCAAACTCGACTTATGTCTAAAATGCTTCTGAAGCAGCAGCGTGGCACAAAACTGCAGAGTAGAACCCATGAGAAATTCAATTTTCTTCAAGTGTCTGCTCTGCCACTCAATTTTCTGCCATCCACTCTGCCTCCCAATGCAAAAAGAATAGTGTAAGGAATAATTACATGCTGAATGGGAGGGGACGGGGGGACTATATGACCTAAGAAAACTCTGATCTTCAGTTTCTGTGAATCTGAGAGTCAACTAATCTCTGAGTTGTCCTGCCTTTTTTCTGTAATCATGGATAGTTTCATTTTGGCATAGCTGAAAGTAGGTATGTTATATAGAAGATTATTAAAGCACCTGAAAAACAACACTGGAGCCAAAGAACCTTTCTAAATAGAAGGTGCACTGTGAGGACCACTACATAGTAATATACCATATATCAGAACTGATCACATTGCTCTTTGAGAGCAATATTAATTACCAACTTTAAAATAAAATATACCTTTTTTTCTGTTGAAAAATTTGGAAATCAATCCGTGAATAGTAGTAGAGAGGTAGCCGTGTTAGTCTGATCTTGCTAAAACAAAAGGAAAAGCTATGTAGCACTTTAAAGACTAACAAGTTTGTTTAATAGGTGATGAGCTTTCGTGGGCCAGACCTGAGGAATCCTTGAACAGATCAGTTACTTACACATGTTCATTGAACAGTTTAGTCAATTGATGTTCAAGGTATGGTTTGTTTGCAAAGTGTTTGTATTGACTATTCCCTATTTGTTACTGTTATACATGTGTTCTATGTAGAGGGGAGCCAACAGAGATGCTGGGCCCTTGGGCAAAGTATGAGGGCCCGGGTCTGTGCTCCTGGAAGGGGTGGAGCCTCAGACAGAAGGGGCGGAGCTGGGGCAGCCGGTCCTCAGTGCTGCCTGGAGCGTGCTGCACCGTGATCCCTCCCCCCCTCCCCAGGTAACTGTCAGAACTGGCTACAGCCTGGTGCGTGGCGCTCTGGCTGTGATTTAGAGGCCCTGGCTCTGGTGCCCTCCCCACCCCATCGGTGGGCCTGTCTATGTATGGCAGCCTGAGTTACACTGTATTTTTTTTTACTTCCCGATGGTAGGCGATAGCTGTGACTTTTTAAACTGGAAAATAATGAGCACCACATTTATTGGAGAATTGTCATTTTGTGTGAGGGAAAATCCCCACAAAGCCTACTATGACTTACACAGCAAAGAGTGAATATTCAGCAACAGCCAAAGCTATTTGTGAACATATAAGACAAGCCTAGGAATCACAGAGAGTTAAACTCAGGTCTGGGATTTGCCAATACATCTTATAAAGCAGGTTTTTCAATATTCTACCAGTTCTTCCATTCAAGAATTTATTCTGGAACAAATAATTGGCCTGTATTTAGAAGGAAGATCAGTTCCTTAACAGCACAGAGACACTGCAACATTAAGAGGAAGAAAGACAATATAGAATTAACAATATCTTTCTCTCTATCTGCAGGTTGTTAAAGACAAGTACTTTAAGGCCTTTGTTAGTTATGTACGGAGCAGCACTCTCATACTTGTTCTATATTTGAGCTTGGGGACAATGGAAAACACTGTATGTAAAGATCCCTGGCACTATTTGCTTCTATTATATTTTGCACAGGGCCTGATGAAATGCGACATAATGCAGTATAAGGAGGCAGAGTGTCATACTAGTGTAGGGATTTATTGAAGAGGCAGGCAGACTAGAGAAACAAGGATTTTTGCTTGCCGCTTTGAGAGAAGCTGACCTTGTGAAGAACAGGATTTTCTAAGAAGTAAAGTATCAAGGTAAAATGCATCTAAACCCACTGCCAGGGGCGGCCCGTCCATATAGGTGAACTAGGTTGTCACCTAGGGCGCCAAGTTAAATGGGGCGCCAAATGGTGGCGCAATATCATCGAGGGGTTTGGAGGTGGGGGTGCCGATTGCATGGTTCGCCTATGGCACCAGTTGTTGGCAGCTAGTTTAGGGCTATCCCCGCTCACCACTATTGTTGTAGCCCATCTCCTCATGTTTCTGGCAGGGATATGGGAAGCCACTGCACTATATTCTTTCCTCTCTGCGCTCTCTTGGGCTATTGTCAAGAACACCCACCAACACTAACTTTCAGCCATGTGTTTGTACTCCTGATGTTAGGGCTGGTTGTGAACTTGTCCGGTCCACAGGAATGAGAAAACAGTCTCAGAGCTATTCTAAATGACATCAGCTGCCAACAGCTCCTAAAGGCCATTTCTACCGTCCAGAGATTACTGAGACATGCTGGACATGCTCCCTATGCCAAGTGGAGCCTGTATGCAGAGAGGAATCTGGGACTTGAGCTCATGCTAGGTTCTGCCTACCTTCCAAGGCTCATTTGTGTAACAGTGCTGAACAGACTGGAAAAGCATCAGTGGCTTTATCTGGATTTCTTTTATACGGTAGGCAACATACCTAATAAATCTTATCTCTGTGAAGCCTAATTTGTTGAACATGATTGTACTTTCCTTGAGCAGCAACAGTGACAATCTTCAGGATGAAAATAGGTTTTTTTTCCTTCTATGTAGGCATCTCTCAGGTTGATAAAAGGATGCCCTACATTGAAATGTGATGTGCAGAACACACCTCATGCCTTGTTCTTAAGGACAAAGCAAATCAAACAGTAGTATGAACCTTCTTTTTAAAAACTCCTTAAACTATATCATTTAATAAGAAATTCTAGTTTCACCTTTGAAATTCTGCTTGCAATCTGACCTCTTTATTGGTCCCCTATTTTCTCTCTGATGGAAGGATTTTCCCAGCAATGTCAGTGAGCAAATTAGCTACTCTCAAGCTTAAACTGAAGGAAGGAAAGGCAGCTTTCTAGTTCAGTACAGAACAAGGAATCTGGAGACATGAGTTCTATCCCTGACTCTGACATACACCTCCTGGAAGTCCCTTTAGGAAAGATTCTGATCTCATATCAGTTTTATGCTGCCAAGAAATACTATGGAGCTACTCCTGAGTCTCATCCACTTTCCCTTCTGCAGATAAGGAGATAAGATTTCACTTCAAAGTGATGGGGTGAGGCTCAGTTCATGGATCCTTGTAAAACAGGCTAGTTGGCTTCTGTTATTTGAAAGTCTTTTAAGGCACGAAGGGATAGCCAACCGCACCTGGTTAAATGGGACTGTATAATATACAAGGAACAGCTCTTCTCTACATTCTGAACTTGCTCTAGTTCCGTGGCTTTCAAACTTTTTTCCTCATGGTCCAGTTGAAAAAAATTGTTGATGCTCATGACCCAATATAATTTGACTAGAGTGTGGGTTCCAGAGTGAGGCTGAGAATAAGAGGTATGGGGTGTAGGAGTGGGCTCTGACTTGGAGGGGAGGAGATCAGGCTGGGACAGGAGGGGCTTACCTTGAGCAACTCCCAGACAGCAGTGCAGAGGGGATGCTAAAGCAAGCTTCCTGCCCCTCCTGGCACTGCAGACTATGTTGCACCCAGAAGCAGCCAGCAACAGGTTCCCAGCCAATGGGAGTGCGGAGCTAATGCTCGGGGCAGAGGCAGTACGCAGAACCCTGTGCACACTCTCCTCCCCCACCTAGGACCCGGGCCTGCTGCCGGCTGCTTCCAGGGCACAGTGCAGTCTGCGGTGGCAGGACAGGCAGGTAGCTGCCTTAGCCAACTGCTAGTCACCAGATCCCCCTGCAGCAATAAGACCCAGTGCCTGACATTTCATGACCCAGTATGGGGTCATAACCTATAGTTTGAAAGCCACTGGTCTACTGCTATACAAATTGACCCTGATTTTCCTCTTGCTTACGCCAATTTTACCAGGTGTAACTTCACTTCAGTGAGTCACTCTTAACATACTCCAGTGTAACCGAGGCCAATAGATCTGGCCCATGTGTTTACTTGAAGAATGGGCCTCAGAGTGCATAACACTTTTTAAATCCCATGTATTGATTGACACACACTTGACAAATGAGCTGCTCAGCACATACTCAGAGTAGACAGCTGCAAAAGAAAAATGCATACAGTGGAACCCTCTTGTAATATAGCCATTGAACAAGTTCACTGTAAGCAGATAGATAGGAAGAACAGCAATATTATTATAATTTACAGCTGTCATTATACTCACTAATATGGATCTATAACATGGGCATGACCCCAGAAGTCAAACTCTTTTTGCCTTGGGGTTTTATACTGCTTTCCACGTCAAGTCATGAGCAATAATGAAGTCCCTTTGAACAGCAGGGAGTCTCTGGCACCTCCCTTTTTGTGAGGTCAAAACTCTTTTAGAGTACAAGTCTTCTAGGCATTTAGGGGTGGAAGAGGGTGCTGGTGTTGTGAGTGCCGTTCGTAGGGTGAAAAGGCTAGTCAAAGAGAAAAGTTTTGTAATATTTCCTACAGAGGATTCAATTCCAGCTCTGTATTCCATAGACAGATTTACTGAGTTCAACATGTTTTGGATCAGGTCCCAACTGCACTATCACTGGTTCCCAATGCTTTATTAAAAGTCTGATATAGGAGCTTCTAAACACCAAGAGATGTGTGGTATGCCACCAACTTTTCATGCTCAGGTACCTGTATTAATAACAAGATGGAGTGATGTGGAAATTCTTTATTCCATGTACCTCTTTCTGCCTCAGTTTTTATTACAATCGTTTCCTTGGCATCAGAGAAATACTGATGTATTCTTGGCTGAAACATTTAAGCTTAGTAAAACCGGTATAAGTTACAAGAAATGTTCAGTTTTTAGGAAAGCAAACTCACCAATTACACTCAACTCCGCACTGGTAAAAATGACTCCGTGCCTGTTTTCCGCTACACACTGATACATGCCTGCATCTGACAGATTCACATTTGTTATTGTAAGTGCTCCGTGTTCTATCTGAATTCTGTCCTGTAGAACAGCAAAATAAATAAGGAAAGCCCACCTTAGAATTTATATGTTACAGCAGCTGGGTCATATATTATATCACAGGGGACAAGAAAAAAAAGAAATATGAACAATTTACATGCTACAATCTATTTGTCTGTCAACTAAATTTATATCAGGTTCGACGTTAAATGGAAAAACCAATATCGTAGTTGGTAAATGCAATTTAAATTGGAGGACTCTCCCTTGAGTTCTCATTGATTTAATACCTAAACCATTCAGATTAATATCCCTTTCAAAGAGATTAACTGGAATCTAAAAATGCACTTCTGTTTTAAGGTAGTGTATCATGATGGTCAAATACATTCTTGAGAGCATTTAAAACAGTTGAGTTATTAGCGTGTATCCCTCTGAAGTGTAATAGGAATAATAATCATTTTAGGTGTTGCAGAAAGAAACATTTAAAATCAGCTGCAGTTTACCAGGGAAAAATGTAGATGTTAATAATTTAATGATCCTTTACTTTATTTCTGCCACTAAAGTGATTTAAGAACAAGACCATCTGCTAGTGACCAGCATGAAGTAAAATTAGCGTGTGGAACAAAAGACCATGGTATCATTTGTCAGCCTAAGGATATGGAACTCATGTTATCAATTTTAATAAGTACAGCAAAATGTTCCCTCCTCCTGGGAGTTCTACCATTTTTTTAAAAAATAAGTACTATAAAGAGCTATTTGCTTTCTAGTTGGCTGCAGGGTGGCAATTTAATGTTTGTGCAATCTTTATTAGGGTTTGATCAAATCTAGGCAACTATGTTCTTCACATTAAGTAGAGGGAGAAAAATGAAGGCTGCACTGATAACGCTTTCATAATTTGCTTTAGTTATGCTGTATAATTGAGATAATCATGGGATTCAAAGTTGCCCTCTAATGAGAGAAAGAGTTGGGGGTGTGGGCGGTAAGCGAGCTTAATCCCCCCACTTCTAATCTGTAGGCATTTTTTTCAGGCACAGCTAAAGATAACCCAGGTCTCTAGCTGCCTGTACAGGAGCAAATCTGAACAAGGGGAATTTGGTTTATTGCTCAGAGACTCTTGGAAATGCCAAAGTTTCATTAACATCTGAAGTTCATCTGAAAACTATCAAATGAAAACAACATTATATAGGAAAGCCACATGGTACCATTCAACCATTTGCCTGATTTTACTGGGGCCTCTCAACCAGCACAATAGCATTATGAATCACTCATTTCAAAGAGCTACAGAAAGTTATGAATATGGTTGTTTCATGCACCCTGTTTGCTCTAATACAAATCTCTTAGAAACTTGTCCTGAAGCCTTCCTTATCCACCTACAGAAAGCAATGGACTATTTTTTGTAATACAGGAACTCAATGTCATGCAATGGCACTCACCCAAGAGGATAGAAAAGATGCTATGACTTGAATTTTAAGGTGCCATCACAGTTTGCACTTCTATTTAAAGGCAGTGAACTATGCAGTCCTTAAAAAGCTGCCAAATCAGCAGAATCTTTATAGAACATTCTGCAAACCACCATTGCATCCAAAGAACAAGGGCACAGATTTCAGCAATAATCTTACCTGAGGCATCAGTGATTCGCCATCCTTTAGCCAGCTGTATGAAGGCTTCGGTCTTCCATTTGCTTTACATTCCCAAAAGATGCTTTCCTCTATAGCTAGGTGAGCATCACTTATTTTCTGAATCCAGTTGGGTGGTGCTGGAATGCAGAAAGTAATGAATGAACCCACATGTTTGTAAACAAGAGTCTATTTTCCAGATGCCAGCAACTCCTGAATATTTTTCTTGAAAAAAAAAATCATATGTTTTATACCACTGGATTCTTTGTGGAGATTCCCCCCCTCCCCCAAGGAGTCCAATTCTGCTTTTGAAGACAATGGGAACAGGATCATAACCTAGTTTCTAAAATTTTATTTTTAATACGTTTTAACAAAAAATTGCATCTTCAGAAATGAAATACTTCAGTACATGAGTAATGACATTAAAATAAATGGTGCTTGAAGTTAAAACTTTCCTGAATAAGAATATTTTCATGAACTGGGCCTAAATAGCTCAATAGAACTGGGCTTTCAATCCAAAGCTTTAAGATTTGGGAGTGTTAACATCCAGATTCAAGCACTGTATTCATTTATTTCTCTGTAATGGGCCTAAACTCACATTTTGGATAGTTTGTATTCAGATCTAATTTCAGCTCTTAACACCATCTTGGCCTATCAGGGTCTGATCCTGCAAAACCTGGACTACGCATGTGAATAAAGGATACACATTTAGAAAAAGGTATCTCACGTCAATAAGGGTTCAGAGGATAAGGACCTTAATACAGTAGCTTTTAGAGTACTGGCTTCACATACTTAAACTTCTAAAGAGATATCATGTGAAAACTGTCATTTGTTGTTAGTAGGTATCTGTATAACTTTTTAAAGTTTTGTGTCAGGTAGGTTTTCACACGCTGAGATTATTCATACTCAAAACTGAGAGAATAATTTCTAGAGCTGTAACTCTCAAGTTTTGCTGGAAACCTGGAAAAACCACTCAGTTCATGTTATCCTAAACAAATTCACATTGGCATGGATTTGCCTCGAGCGTACTGCACAAAACTCCAGTGAATGTTTCAAAAAAACTCATTTGGAGTTTCAGGGTGTACTAAAATTAGTTGTGTTTCAGGTTTATCTTAAAGGTAGATTTGTCCTATTTTAAAATAACAAACACACACCTGAAAGGATTTTTTTTTTTAAATATTACCAGCAGAGGTCTCTCAGAACCTGGATAATACTTTTTAATACCTTCCTTCTATAATCAGATAAAATAATTAAAATTTCTCAAACAAAGCCAACAGCTTTATAAATCCCTTTTAAACTGAGATGAGGGATCAGAGAAAATTTTGAAAGAATAGGTAAAAAAAAAATCAAACTTTGTAACAACCACCAAATGTGAAGTTGAATGGAAAGTTGACCTCACTATACTTTAAATAATGCAA